TTTGTATGCATGCTTTTCCATATATTAAAATCTCACTGCAAATAATAGTTTTGTTGCAATAATTTTGAATTTTGTGAATGTTCTGAGAAGTCACTAATTAACAAACAGCTGAATAAAAGCTTTATTCAGCTGTTTGTATAGAAGGGTTAGTATTTCAGTTGATCGGTACCACAATTTGCCGATTACATGGAGTTAAATGGAGTTTTTTTCTTCCACTTTTCCGAATCGATTTGACATGGGGTTGATTCGTTTTGGTCTGAATACTAATTGGTGTGAATTTCAATCAATCCTAACGCCGTTTGAGAATTTTATTCAATTTTGAAACTTTCTTCCATAAGGGCCCGTACAAACTTTTTGTCTTCCCCCTGTAGCTCCCAGGGGATTTTTTTTTAACCAACCAAAGCTGATTTGTCATGTAACTTCCATATCTAACCACGTGGCAAGGAATAGTTCGAACAAAAAACTGAAAAAATTATCGCCAAAAATTTTGGTGGGTAAAACCTTGCTATTTTTTCGAAATTTTACATTTTATATTTTTTTCTCGAAAGCGAAACGGACCTATCGGAAAAAGTTGTTCTTTATAAAATATCGCGCGCGTCGAGCAAATGGATTTTAAATGGTTCGGATGGGTAGATACCTATTTAAGTTTCCTTATACAGGGTGATTCAAAATTGGCGTCATTCCTTTTAAGGGGTAATAGGGGCTCACTTGGAGAGTACGAGGAAAATGTTGAAATTTCGCGTCACGGTTAATTTTTTTAACTATTTTTTCTGTTCTCCTAAAACACCGCCAGACAACACCTCCAGAGGAATGACGCCAATTTTGAATCACCCTGTATATGTGGATGCTATTTGGTGTAGCAATGGCCACAGAATATATTGCTCAGGATTCATCTTGTAACTGGCATACATTGTTTCGATTCAGTATGAAATTTGTGGAGAATTAAGAATAAATGTTGCGATTTGTATGCATGCTTTTCTATATATTAAAATCTCACTGCAAATAATAGTTTTGTTGCAATAAGAAGTGACTAATTAATAAACAGCTGAATGAAAGCAATTTTGAACAAAGTTTTCCAACGCCAGCCCCCCATGTTCAGGTAGTTTGTTTTCGCGTAAAACCACTTTGGTTCCATGTAATTAACTGCGTTTAATGTATTTGCTCGCTTGCACATTTAGTTTATCTTTTTATTGAAAGTATTGAATGCGTCGCGTTATCGACGAAGTTTATTACAGAGCGCGCAAAAACGAAAAAACTACACACTTGAATCCCATTGACATCAGACGAATTACAGTTTCATTAGATAATCAGTCCGACTGTTTATCAGGAATCAGGGGACTGATTGGCTGCAAAGTGCGCTGATCCCCACCAAACGTCGCTAGTCGCCGAATAGTTTTGAATTTCGGTTTTAGTATTTTATATAAGTCGGGCAAATCGAGCAAAGGAAACGGTTATCGACAATTAGCTGATTTGTCGGCAGGTCTAATTGCGGTGCAACATGGCGAAATCGAAAGTGAACAATGTTGGTGAACTGTTGACTCAATCGCTTGGCGAGGATGTGGAAGTGTTGGAAGAGGAGACGGCAGTGCTGACCGCACCAGGAGAGCACTACGGCAGCGTGATGCTGGCGCTGAATGTGAAAATCAAGCGCAAAAAGTCTGGACTCAAGGGGGACTTGCATCTCGTCGCCAAACTGATCCCGGCTAATGAAATGCTGCGGCTGGCCTTCGATATACCTGTAACGTTCAAAAAGGAAGTGTTCGCATACAAGCACACCATCCCCGAGCTGGTCGCGCTGCAGAAAGAGCACAGAGTGCCAGAGGAGCAATTCATAGACAATCTGCTGCCCAAGTGTTTCGGCGCCAGAGTGAGCGTGGACGAGAACAAAAACATCGTGGATGAAGACGCAGTGTTGATCTTCGAGAATCTGAAGCTGCAAGGTTTCATCACGGAAGATCGATTGAAGGGCTTCGACTTGAGCGCCACCAGAGTGATTTTGCAAGACCTGGCCCGATACCATGCGGTGCCCATAGCGTTGAAGCTTCTCAAGCCGCAGGCGTTTAAGGAAAAAGTCCTGCCAGCCACCGTTTCCAATAAAGGCCTGGAGCAACTGCCGCCTGAGGTGGGCACAACTTTCCACAATGCCATCATGGAAGGAGCTCGCGAAATGCCAGAGCTGCAGCCTTACTTGGCGCAAATACAGAAGATTGTTGATGATGGCGCGGCGAATCCTTTCGTGAACAGGAGCAATCCGAACGAACCTTGGGGCACGATGTGCCACGCGGATTTCTGGGTCAGTAACACCATGATCCAGAAGGACCAAACTGGCCGCACCGTGAAGAACAAGATCGTGGATCTGCAGCTGCTCAGGTACTGGAGTTGCTGTTGCGACCTGGTCTTTTTCCTGTTCACCAGCGTGATCAACACCATTCTGGACGAGCATTTCGATGATTTTTTGCGGCTGTACCACGAGACGTTTCTGAAGACCTTAGCAGATTTCCGGCTGGATCTTGCTCCGTTCTCTTGGGAGAATTTCCTAGAGGAACTGAACGAAGTGGCTCCCACCGAGCTCTACCATGTGCTCATCATGCTCAAGCCAATCTGCACTGAAAAGGGCAAGGTGACGAACAGCTCTGAAGAGTTCCAAGACTCCGACTGGAGCAGGAAGGATCTGCTGGGGCCCAATCACAGAAGGAAGCTGAAGGACACTGTGTTAAGTATCCAGAAGCGAGGATGGCTATGATTAGCTTCGGCACTCCATTTTTAGGGCATTTATGGGTAAATACACTAAAGTGAACTAAGGTTCTGTTATGCAATAGCCATAATAATAATAATAATAATAAAAGTGTTTATCAGAATTAACACTGTGTTCTTTATTCGTTATGGCCTAGAATGTTGTTTGACTAATCGTGCGGTAAGTGTTAATAAACGCAATGCCCCATGGGTTAAGTGTATGATAATCTAAGTAACCCGATTGATAATCATGTGGGGCGCTCTAGCTCGGGCTCTTGACTATGTTACCGAAAAGCGGCAGCTAAATGCGAAAAATAATAAAAGGTCAGTCTATTTGGGTTCTTAATTAAATCTGTATGGTTACCCAGAACGGAATAATAATAAATTAGACCTAATTAAATAATCAAAGCCAATCAGTGGTGAACTAGAAAATTAATAACCAGTTCAAGTACGTGGTGTTATCTCAATTTTGAACGCAACTGGAATGAGCGCAAACTATTTGATAATCGACTTTTCAGACTTCTTAATCGACTCATTGCATTGCGGCTTAAGATGGTTAAAAGCTAAATTAATTTGTGCGTATACAACTGTTGAGTTTCCCGGGGTTTTAGGCGTTCAATTGTTCGTTTTTGATTTTTGAATTTTGAATGTATTAACTTTCTTACTTATACTTAAACAACAACTAAACAATTAAAAGATATATTAAATCGTCATATAATTATTGCTACAATTGGGGTAATTTGCAACACGTTCTTTTATTAACTGAAATTAAAATTAATTGATGCCATAGGATTTGGAGAGCAAAGCGCTTAAGAACACAATTTTTACATTGAAAGCTGTAAAGCAAAAATGGATAGACCTTTAAGGCTATCAGCAAATTGCATCCGTAAGTCGCGTTTATTGCCATACAAAGCCTCCATCTGATTCTGATGTCACTCGGATTAAGTGGATTAAGCTATTTCGAGTCTGAGAATCGAAATTGATTAATTTATTTAAAGAATATTCAGAACCAGTCGGTTTTCAGAAATTGTTTCAATTGTGGAGGTCAAATAAATACAGCATGTTTATTGAAGTCATTAACTGCCAATTCTTGCTGTGATGTGGTAATTGAGCTCAAAACA